TCGCTCTCTTTCTCTCACCCCCTCTCCATCACTCTCTTTCGTATCATTTATTGAAATTTAAAATTGTTAACGACGAGCGCTCGCTTTTGCACCGTTTCGTATTCAGCAGGAATTTTTCGATAATGAAGTCTGCAATAGCCCATTTCATTATCGTTATTATTCAAATTAAAAACCAATTAATTTCGTGCACAACGTCCGTAAAAATAAACCGGACGATTCGAGGGGCCGTGTTCACCGCGCCGGGCACAAAAAGAAAAACAATTTTCCATCCGCGGGGCTCATATTTACAGTTCCGTCCAAGTGTATAGAATGTCTGTTTTGCTTGTATCTCATTTTGAGGGGGGCCCCCTTTTGGTATTTTTCAATCACCGTCCGACCGTGAACATTATCATGGGGTACGGTTCACAAAAATACACTTGTTACCCCCCACCCGGGGGCAGAAACGGGTTGCCGTCGTTTGGGCAATCTTTACGTTATTTAACATCTTCCTTTTAATAATTAAAAAAATATATTTTTTTTTAAAGAATGAAAATGAAGTGTTTAGTGTTGAAAAAAATCTGGTTTTTCAAAAATGTCTAAAGCATATAAATCAATCATAAAATCACGAAAAAGATTTCAACCCATACGAGAATATTTATAAAAAGGAACCAAAATTTGAACCTTCCATCTGTCAAAAAGGAAATTTGACGAATAGCTAACGAAATTTTAAACGACGATTTTACCCCCAAAAAGAGTAGCTTTGAAAGTTATAACTTTGAAGGTACTGAATAATAAAAATAATAAAAAAGACCTGGTATTTTTAGTAAGGAGTTACGTAGACTGAAACGAGGAAAATAGAAGATGTCTTCAATCCTACTCACAGTAAGTGACTAATGGTAATGATCTTATCCCGGTTGTATCAACCCTCGGGGTGCCCGTTTTTGAAAAAAAAAAAAACATTTGTAAGTACGTCGGGTTCGAATGCAGGAACCACTGAATTCGAACCCGGGACCTTTACCTTATAGATATGAGCGCCGTATCAACGCCTAAACCGTTGCGGCCACCGACGCCCCCATTATTAGTATTTTTTTTTTTTTACAATGGATACCAGGGACTGGATGAGTTCCCTCCTGAGCACTGCAGCTGAGCTGTACAGCTTATTGTACTTTATCCCTGGCTCCATATTTTGGAGGGGGGCTCGCAACACAAATGTGAACTTGAGCCCCCGTTGTACCGGTGTTCTTCCATCGAAGAAATTCATTTTTGAAGAGGGTTGGGACCAAATTCAGGGTCGCTGAGATCCGATCCCGCTCCTTCCATTGAAGTGTGCCGTGTCAATTTCTTTCAATTGCGGCCACCGATCCCCTTAGGCGTCAGAAAAAGTCCAGAGGCGACGGTGGGGATCGAACCCACGACCGCAGGATCTAATAGCCGAGAATCTGACGCCTTAACCACTCGGCTACCGCGGCCCCCCTATTAGAGTGCTAGTCTTAAATGTCTTAAATTTGTTTATTCGGTTTTCCAGTTATCTAATTAATTTTTTGCAGTTTCATTAAATAATCACGTCAACTCAAAGTCATATGTTTTACTGTAGCATATTCTCATTTCTGTATTTGTTTTTGTGCTGGTTTTACTTTTGGCTAGATCGAATCGGTTCGAATTCGAATTCCAACTGGCTATTTACAAGCCAGGGCAAAAACTTCTTAAAGAACCACAACTGGGATTATGAAAGGAATAAAATCAACAATGTTTTTACCGATTTAACAGGTGGAACCAATCCTCTCGCGTTTGCTGGCAAAGTAAGTATTTGAAATCGAGTTTTGATTGATTGTATTTTTTCCATACATTTTCAATTTATTTCTAGGCATTTTATGAGCATTTGACTGAATGTATCCTCCAAGTGTTGGTCACAACTGGAAGTCGTGCAATCGAAAATCCAGCCAACACCAAAAACAAAGAAAATACTCTAATTATTAAAATTCTTTCATCGCATTTGGAAATACTCTCCAACAATAAATCCTTCTAAGGTTTTTTTACTGTTAAATTTACGATATAATAAAAAGTTAATAACCATAACCTTATTAAGAACTTATTGTTAGATTGATCTTCATTCTTGCTTATAAATGTGTTTCCAGTTTTGTTTCAGCCAATAACTATTTATAACTAGAATATATTACATATTTTGCTCATTGGTACGTCAGAGATATGGTTGTAGAACTCCTTCAACCTGATGATGAGCTAAAAGCTCGAAATAGACGTTCAAAATTGAGCGGCATTAAAAACCAGCTTCTCATTGGAACGTCGCGTTGACGGGGGTATCGGCGGGTACACGTTTGCAATTCATGTCGAGAGACGTGGTTGTAGAACTCCTTGAACCTGATGATGAGGTAAAAGCTCGAAATAGACGTTCAAAATTGAGCGGCATTAAAAACCAGCTTCTCATTGGAACGTCGCGTTGACGGGGTATCGGCGGGTTCACTTTTGCAATTCATGTCGAGAGACGTGGCTGTAGAACTCCTTCAAACTGATGATGAGATAAAAGCTCGAAATTCTTACTGTGAGTAGGAACTATCTTGTTAAAAAGAATTGAACACCGCACTCACTCCACCATTCATCATTTCATTGAAGAAGTCTTCTTCTTGGGGGGCGGGAGGGAGAGCAATGACAAATGTCGATAAAAAAGGTAAGAGCAGAGACATCACACTGACAACAAAGGTCTGCACAGATAAAACGATGGTATTTCCACCTATGGCTGCGAGAGATTGAGCCTAACGAAAACTGAGCGAACATGTAGATGGTTTTGAACTGCGGCGTTGAAGGAAAATCTTAGAGTATTGCAGGAAAATCAAACTAGTCCATATTTGATCATGAAACCCAGACTTCTCACTTCAGGTAATGATATTAAAAATAACACTGAAGTTCTTTGGCTAAATAAAGAGAATGCAGGGTAACCTACAGAAGAAGGTACTCATCGGGAAAGTTGAAGGTAATAGGAAGAGAGGCCGACAAGAGCTGGTCGATGGATGATATACTTCAGATGACGGACTCAATCATTGGTTGGTCCATTAAGCCCCGACGAGCGACTGAACGAATAAAAACAAAACTGCAGACATCATTAATCCCTCCAGTCATAAATGTCTTAACAAAGGCAAATTACAAAAATTAAAAACAATAAATAAATTGGTGGTTAGTTGAAGAAGTTGGAGATTTCGTTTTTTCAAAAAAGAATGTTCGGGAATAATTTAGTGAACGATTTCAAATTAAAAACAGTTTGCACTGTACAATTCAGCCTCCTTAAGCTGTTAAAAAACATTCATTAGTGTCTTTGAACTTAGCTAGGTCCCTATTCGTATGCGGCAATACTGGACAGTCAGATAAACATTTTGGCTCATGGGAAACTAGAAAAGAAATAAAAGCTTGCATTCTCTCGGGGTTTTTGTCATGAATATGTTTTCATTTTTGGTTATGAGTAAAATAACCACAGAGACAATAGACGTAACAGAAAAATTTAGTTGCATTTTACCAATTCTCGCACCACCCCATGTTAGCCAATAATTCAATAAGTTTAACTAAACAGGATTTAAGCCTAGTTTGTTATTGTTTCTTCAAATAGCGCCACAATCAAATCTCCCCTCAGGAGTAAAGATTGAAATATTTACTTTTAACAAATCGTCGAGAAATCTTAAGTGAGTCACAGAGCTGTTAAATGTAAATTCCGCCAGCATTAACAAAACTTTATAATGCAAATAGGTGAAGGGCTCGTCGCCGGCGGGGGAGAGTGTTGTACGTGTTAATTCCCGGTATCTGGGCGAGATTAATTTCAGGGTTGTCTGCCCTAATAACCGGCTCCTCCAGACTGAAAGAGGGTTAGCTTGGAAAACGATGCGAGCTTTCAAACTTGGCCCAAATAATTAGAGTTGGTGTGTGGCCTGTTGAATATTCAGCTGCCGGGCTTTGGTTCCTGCTCTCTCTGATCAACCTCTGTAATTAAAACCTGAGGACAAGTGGGCCCAACCGCCGCAACCCCCGTTCACGCCACCGCCCTCCGAACCTCTTCACATCACGTTTCATGCGCCCCCAATTTTACCCCTTTGAAGGTTTGAAATTCGTTGGCTTTATTAAAATGAAGAAACTCCTATTCCTCCCCTTTATTGTCTTTTACCCCTTCTAATTACACAATTTCGTAAAGATATTTGTTAATATCATATGATAACAACTAGATAAATATAAATATGTGCATGTACATATTTTATTTTTTATTTCTATATCTACAGTTGATATTTAATGCAACGTTACAATTCCTATAATTATAATTTGGAATGGATTAATAATTTTAAGTGCAGAAAACTGTGACTATTATGTGACAAGGTGCTTTTTGCCTACCTCGAGTTTGAGGTGTCGTACCTCGGTTTTTTTCTCTTGTAGGTCTTCGTGTACTGTCGATAACAGCACCTATGGGTTTCATTATTTATAGCTTTTGCCGCTGCCATAGAAACTTCGACTTGTTAGGTTAATCATCTATTATCATTAATATCAATTGATAAAATGTGATTGAATAGAAGATTTTTTTCCGGTATGTCATTTTAGTCGACATAGGAGACAGGACTTCCACACCGTTGTTCGATTTTTCCATACACTCAATCATGTTGGATCGTTTGTTATCCATAAAGGCAACGAAAAAGTCGACATATTGGCCAATATGGACCCAATAAGTCCTGAACCCTACTTTGGCCTAGCATCTTACCACAAAAGAGGATACATCTTCGAATGGATCCTTAATAAGTCCAAAATCTGGTGAAATAAAACCACAGGCATGCGGCACGCGAATTAATTCTTAGATGGGTCAGCTGCAAAACTTACAAAAGAATTACTGGAAGGCAACCGTAACCGAACCAGGATTCTGGTTGGACTCCTGACAGGGCATTAGGTTTCCTTATGTTCTCGTTAGCCCTTAAAAGGACATGAGGATCATTAACGACCGTACCTAACCTTTCGGCCCTACCGGACGTTTAATTCTCAAGATGAGAGATGACGCACCTCCGCTCACGATTAGATGGGTGCTACAGCCGCAAGTTTTGGTGGAGAAGCCGAGACGGACCTCACTCTCCGCTTGTTCATTCCTTGTGGATGGGGCTGCATTAAGCACCAAACCGTGTGCCGCTCGGATAGGGTAACCTCAAGTGGCCGAAATACATCAGCCAGGGTCGTCCCGCCGAGCTCCCTAGATAGAGAAGGCAACCCCAGAGCATTGGGACTCCTCCAGCGTAAGAACTGCCGGATCCGCTCCTGCCGCGGTTTTGTTTAAAGTACTCCTGACAGGGCATTGCCAATTAGAAAAGCACATGCACTGGATGGGAGTACTGACAGGAGAAACACTGTGCAGATACTGCTTGGAAGAGGAGGAGACCGCAGAACACAATTTATGCTTCTGTGAAGTCCTGTACAGGGTCTTGCACCTTGGGCAGGAAAAACCGTAGGTAAGATCCTACACTAAGGAACCGCCGGTAAGGCTATGGAGGTTGATTGACAATCTGAAGGTAGCCAGTTAGTTATAGAAAACAGAGGAGCATAATAGATCTACTCAGGTCGAGGAGCAGATGGCCTTGTGGCTGCCTCTTTTATCTCTATCCCTCTCCCCTATGGTAATCTATTGGAACCTGTTTTTGTATTGGAATCCTGGGTCTCTTGCAGGGTTGGAAAATGAACTTTGCGGCAATGAGTTGACATAATTGAATTTATTGAACATTGTTGAAGATATAACCAAAGTACATTTTCTATCTTGCTAACTTTTTTTACAAAAGAAAACTTGAAAATATAATTTGTGAATGGATACGGAAAAAACATGGTTTTACTTGGTAGAAAAACTGTTATTATTGGTTAATATAAATAAAGATTTTATTACTGTGTTTTATAAATATTCTTTGAGAGAGTTGTTGCTAATTGTCAGCGATAACAATGTATGTTATACAAATGTATCACCTTATTATCAAAGTGAAATATGTTTTATTTACATGGGAACTTTTACGACTTGGGTTCTACTTTTGTTCGAAAATGCATATAAGATGATTCATATAAAGTGAGGAAAGTCCCCTTGCCTCCGGACTCCTCTCCATACACCGTTTTCCCCGCTTTCTTAAAACTATGTAAATCCCTCAGATTACACGGATTTCCCACGAAAACAACTTGGGGGGCGGAAAACAATACACACGAATGCAATACCTCCGGCACGCCACCTGAGCCGAACGGAGCAAATGCGATATAGGCCGGCTGTCGGTTCAGCCCACCACTTAATTAACACATTACTTTCGGTATTATTGATTTGTATGATGAAACGAATGAGTTTCTCATAAAGGATTTACATAGAAATCAAATAATCGATAAATGCAGAAGAAGCCCAGGTGTGCACTTTTTGTAGATTAGCACTACTTAACATTTGTAAAAGATTAATTAGTTTAATTCCTGAATAATTAGGACAGAATATACTGCAGGAAGATCTTAACATTCCTTATATTTGATATTGTAAATATTAAATTCGATTGAAATAAATTTTATCAAAAAGAATAATTATAGTAATAAGTTTACTAAATTTAACAGGTTTTTTCCAAATGGAAGATGCTTAGAGAAGCAAACGAAAATTATATTGATTAATGCAACAGACATTAAAAGGAAAAACCTAGGAAGATTTTAAAAAAGATTAATCAGACGATTGATAGTTACAAATAATAGTTCACTCTATAATCTAATAGTAAATATTAGTTTTTACTCCAAATATTATGCAAAATAAGTTTATCTTTTTCAATACAATTTATATAATAGCATGTACATAAATGACTACTATATTCTTTCTTTCAATATTTCTCCCTCACCCTCATTCATTCTCTCTCTCTCTCTCTCTCTCTCTCTCTCTCTCTCTCTCTCTCTCTCTCTCTCTCTCACTCCCTCTCCCTCTATCTATCTATCTATCTATCTCCCTCCCCCTCACACTCTCTCTCATTCTCTCTCCCTCTATCTATCTCTCTCCCTCCCCTCTCTCTCCCTCTCTCTCTCTGCATCTACTCTCTTTCCCTCTCCCTTTAACCGTTTTTTCTGGAATATATTTTAAAAATTCTTTCTATTAATCTATCTGTCTTGTTGTCTCTTTCTTTCTCTTTTCAAAGTTTTTCCTTGATATATTTTGTCATTATTTGTATCAATTTCTTTCTTTTCATCTATTTCTCTCTCTCTCTTTTTCTTTTTCTCTCCTTTCAGCTTTTTTGCCACAATCTCTCTAAACATTTTTTTAATCTTTTATAGCACTCACATTCTCTTTACCACCTCGTTTCTGTATCTTCTTTTCTGTTCCTTTAATCGATTTTTTCTCTACGGTTTTAATTCTCTATATCACTCTAGATCTCATTCTTATCTTTTATCTTTCTTCTTTTAAAGTTTTCCTCTATAGTTTTTATTATTATTTGTAGTACTTTTTATTTCTCTCTCTCCCTCTTTTTCTTATCCAATCTCTCTGTCACCCAATCTCTCTCTCTCTTTCTCTACCTAATCAAAAAAAATTCTTAATAAGATTATTCAATAAATTTCAAATCAAAATTAGGTGATCTTAAAGCGCCAGAAGATCTATACCATATTATTGAGAAATCTATTTTTTGGTCTTAAAAGAAAATTAATTCCTATCTCCCTTTGATAAACAATACTAATTCCATTTACGTGTTCTTGCGTGTTTTCCCCCAGGTAATAAGCAAAATTTTAAAAACTCGGTCTTTCACTTTATTAAGGTAATTATTAATGTGTGGTGTTTAGTGACCGTTAGTCAATGATTAATCGGAGATCGTGAGATGCGGTCTGGTGTGACGTAGGATTTAGAAAAACATTTTCTTTATCGTGCCAACGTTTCGATCTTTATAGATATCATCTTCAGGGCCTGGGATTTATAAACATTGTTTGAATTTTACAAATGCATGTAGGATGTGATTTTTTTAATCTAAAATTTCTACCATCGTATAAATTCATTTTTTTTCACATCCTACATGTATTTATAAGCCCTGAAGATGATCGCGATAAAGATCGAAACGTGCAATGAGGAGGCGGACAGCCTGGCCAAGGAAGGATCAAATACTGAGTTCGTCGGACCACAACCGGTATTACCCCACTCTTTAAGCACAGCAAAAGAGAGTATAGGTAGCTTGGGCATGAAACAATTCCTTAAGGAATGGAATATGTCCCCAGGATGCAGGCAATCGAAGGAGTTTCTGAAGGAAATCAAACCTAAAGAAACGAAATGGCTACTCTCTAACTCTAGGAGGGGAATAAGGAGGCTGATAGGTATCCTAACGGGCCATTGCCCCTTGAGAAGACACCTCTTCATAATGGGTACTCTACCAGACCCCTTCTGCCGCTTCTGCGAAACAAAAGAAGAAACGGCCCGACACTACCTCGCAGAATGCGATAGGTATGCTAGGGAAAGATTTAATACTTTCGAAGGAGAGGACATAACCAAAACACTCCCCAGGATAAAATGGTCCAAAATCCTGGGGTTTGTGAATAGGTCCAATAGGTTTATGCAGGACTCGTGAGCCGACCAGGTCCCGGACCTTTTAGGGATGGGGTACGGGCCTACTCAGGCTTTTAACCCCTCGGGTCCTGGTTGCCCGCCCTGTGTAATATATATAAGATCGAAACGTTGGCACGATAAAGAAAATGTTTTCTAAAACCTAAAAAAAACTTACGTCACACCAGACCGCATCTCACTATCTCCGATTAGTCATTATTAATATACAAATAAAAATAGTGTAAAATCTAACTAATACATAACTATATCCGGAGCAAATATTAAATACGTAACTGAATAATATTTTGCCGTATTGTAATAATTTACATTAATTATAACATTGAGTAAATTTATAAATAATTATGATGATTTAATATATTACAAAGAGTGATTTTATATATTATGGTTTATTTTTGTTTATGTAATATCTTAACTTTGTAAGGGGTACTCCTCAGGGACAATTAAAATAATAGTAATCGAATATCTAATCGGTCAGAAACGAGATAAGCATATCGTAGAGATATTTCGTCCTACGTAAGATTTACATTTCGATTTTTAATACTATATGCCAGATTTCGTAAAACGCCTTCTCAAAGTCTAGGAACTCGGCATCTTTAAATAAAAAATTTCAAGACGCAATTTTTTTTGTTTTTTATTTCAATATTACCTAAACCACATGCGTATTAAACGAACTCTTTGGCTCCTTGAGGCAAGATAAATTACATTTGTATTTTTCCAAGTTCGTCTTTTAAAATTCAACACTTTCTCTTGCTTGAATACCCGCGTTGTTTGTATTTTTCCAACGGTGTCGGGCCCGGGGTTACGCTAGACTGGATGCGAACCGGCCGCCTGACGAACGCAGAGGGTGGGCGGTGTACCCTGTACAAATATCCGTACGCCGTCCCTAATCCACCTCCTAACAAACAATAACATCACGAGAACCGTTGTTGACTGATGTTCTCGCTGGCCAAACATTCCTTCATCAGTTATTCATCCTCGTGGGGTTTGGGGCCGTTGGTAAATTAGAAGATGTAAAAATTGGAAGACGTAAGATTATAAATTATAACTTTTCCCAATGGTCTATCAATCAACTAACATATATTAACCAAATGCAACAGTTGCTGTGTTCTTTAGGCTTACTTCAGAGAGTGCTTTATTATTTTATATGTAGACCTTCTCACAATTAAAACCGCTTAGAAAAATTCAGTTATGAAATTCCTAGATGAGATAATCTTTACAGGACATGGCCTTATTATTACATCTGCGCCTGTGGGAGGGTTGCGGCGAAACGTTTTGTAATAAAGCGGAAACCCTTGTAACGCGGAACCGGTTATGATTGACATGTAATAAAGGCGGAGGCACACGGCGCCGTCATCGTGTTGAGGGGGCTACGAGCGAAACTATGCGAGCCGCGGATGGCGTAATTGAGATGAATTCGGATCGGCAGTTGTCGAGGGGAGGCCGGCATCTGCCAACAGCACTTGTTGCCAAATAGAACAAACCGCAGACTCGATCTGGAAAATGGTAATTTCGAAGTCGAGCGGTTCTACTCCACTAGTAACTTCTTTCCAACTTACTCTGAGAAACTTATTGTTGTTAATCACGATAAATACACACTTTTGGACAAT